GACACCTTTGGTGTGGACGGGAATGTGAAGGGGAGGAGGAGGCAGGGGGGGCTGGGGGGTGGGGGACGGTTTGAGGAGGGTCGAAGGGTTCCCCCCCTACTCCACCCCACCCTTTCCCCAGAGGAACCCCTGGCAAGCGTGGGAGACCCGCGGAGGGGAGTTGGCCGCGAGGCCTCCATTGTGTGGCGGAGCCCCGAGTGGAGAAACGGCGCTTTGTGCAGGGGAAAGGGAGGGTTCCTCGCCGCCGCTGCCGCCAGGCTTGTCACGGTGGGGAACATCTGGCCGCCAGGCCTGAAGGAGACATCTTTGAAAGTCGTGTGAAAAGGAGGCAGGTGTGTGTGTGTGGAGGGGGGGGAATTGGGTTGGGAGTCGTGTTCGGGCAATCTGCTGAACCTTGTCATCTCCGACTCCTGGAGTGGGAAGGGCCCTTTTAGGGCAAGGTGACTGAGCAGCCACATTGTCACGTGGAATTGGGAAATAACAGAAATTTTAGGATGACCTGTTGGGGGAGGGTCTGTAGTCACCGAAAAGGAGCAACCTTCCTGTTTAAAGTGGGGAATAGCTGTATGGTGGCTTTGTAGGGAAAATCGTAATGGGTATTTGGGGGGACAGGGGGAGTGCAAGGGCTTAAGGCAGTGGTGTTGAACTGTGGCCCTCCAGATGTTCTTGGCCTTCAACTCCCAGAAATCCTGGCCAGCAGAGGTGGTGGTGAAGGCTTCTGGGAGTTGAAGTCCAAGAATATCTGGAGGGCCACAGTTCGACACCACTGGTAAGGAGACCCCGATAAATTGATTGGTTTACTGGATGTGTCTCATGTTCCTGTTCTCATTGTCATTATTATCCTTCCCTTCCCCTTGAAGGTACTCATTGCACCATGGTGAAGGAGACCACATATTATGATGTGCTTGGAGTAAAACCCAATGCTTCTCAAGAGGAACTGAAAAAAGCCTATAGGAAACTCGCACTGAAATATCACCCTGATAAGAATCCTAATGAAGGGGAGAAGGTAAGTGTATAAGCCCATGCTCCTCTATGAGGGTTCTACTAATATTTCTAACTATAGAAATATTAAAAAGGAACAAAGAAATACCAGTCTTAGAAATTGCAAACAAGCAATACTAAAAATACATTCAAAGTGGAGATGCATAATAATCCATCTAAAAAGATCACACTCAGGCAGCCAGTCATAGAGGAAAAGATTACCTGAAGAGAAAGGTTTTCACCTGATGGGGCCAGTCTGGCCTTCTGTGGGAGGAAGCTCCAGAATCTGGGTGCAGCAACAGAGAAGGCTCTCTGCTGTGTCCCCATCAAACAGGTGAAGGTGATGGGACTGAGAGAAAGGTCTCCCCTCCTCCAATTGACCATAATACAGTTCCCGAGCTTAGTGGGAGACACAGTCTTTGAAGTAGCTTGGGCCCAAGCTGTTTGCGGCTTGATAGGTTAAAACCAGCACTTTGAATTGTGCCCAGAAACAGATTGGCAGCCAGTGGAGCTGCTGTAATGGATTTATGTGATCCCTGTAACCCAGCAGCCTGGCAACAGATACTGTATCTGTCATATTCTGATTGAGTACTGTGGCTCTGAATTTGGAATGGATTGTGTTCTGGTAGGTGTTCTTTGAAATAAGTATGTATTCTGTCTTCAAAACATGGGAAACTTAATGACCCTATTCAGATTTTAAAAGCATTCAGATTATTACTTACATTGTTGATATGTTTAATACTATTTTGTTTTCTCAAAGCATTGCTGCTGTATATTTTGGCATACGACATGTTCTCTGCAACTTGTACGTTAGTCCTTGTTAATATTATAGAAAAAAAATAGATATTGCCAAATGACAGGTTGCTAGGACTTGGCAACTTCTTTACCTTTGCAATAATTTATCTCTTATAGTAGCACAGGATTGGCGAAACATTGGTTACAACTTAGTCCAAAGTTTCTTAAAGGCTGTGTTTCATATCTTTGCTCTCGGAAACTTGGAAAAGCCTGAAATCTGAAGTCTTTTGCAAAAAAAGATAGTATTCAGTTACCTGCTACTCACAAACAGGCTGATTTTTTTTATCTTTACATCTCAAGTTGAAACCTGATATGACTTAAACCTTTTAACATAGGGCAAGAGAATGCACAATATTTTAAATACAGTGGTGCCTCGCTTAACTATGTTAATTCGTTCCGGCGAAATTGCTGTAGAGCGAAAACATCGTAAAGCGAAAATAAAAAACCCATTGAAACACATTAAAACCCGGTTAATGCATTCCAATGGGCTAAGAACTCACCGTCCAGCGAAGCTCCTCCATACGGCGGCCACTTTTGGTGCCTATGTAGCAAGGAATCTATCCTAGAAAACAGCGGGGGCCATTTTCTTCAGCCAGCGGCCATTTTGGAACCCGACGATCAGCTGTTTGCTGATCGTCGTAATGAGAAACATCGGTTCCCGAAGCAGGGAACCGATCATCGCACAGCGGATTTTGCCCATAGGAAGCATTGTTTTGCGATTGCTCTTGCGATCGCAAAAAAAGCATCATTAAGCAGATTCGTCGTTATACGGGGCAATCGTAAAGCGAGGCGCGACTGTATCCTATCAGGACACTTGTATGACGTGGTAGGGTTTTGCAATTGGCTGTTCTGTAATTGTTAAAAACAATATGGATAATTTTAAATAAATTGGCAATTCTGTGAGGAGGTTAAACTTTTCTTAAAACATTGTAGTTTAAACAGATTTCTCAAGCCTATGAAGTCCTTTCTGACTCCAAGAAAAGAGAGTTGTATGATAAAGGTGGTGAGCAAGCCATAAAGGAGGGTGGTACCGGAAGCAGTTTTGGATCACCCATGGATATCTTTGATATGTTCTTTGGAGGTGGTGGAAGAATGCAACGAGAAAGGAGAGGTAATATACAAGTTTTTAAAATTACTTAATGGAAGTAATCAGTTCTTAATTGATAAAAAATGAATATGCTCTAAAAGCCAATGTTACAAAATGCTTGTTTCCTGTTATAAAACTTGAATTTCAGAATGTGATATGCATTATACCATTTGTATTGCATTCATATAGGTTCCTAATTGTAGCACAACTAGGTTCAGAGTATTTTTTTTTTCTTGGAAATGTCTCACTGAGTTCAGCTATATGTTACCTATCAAGTAAATGTGCAGAAAAATGCTATCTTGCTTTCTTAGTTGGTTCAGCACCCCTCACCTTCCTATAGTTAAGATAAAAGAATTTTTGTTTTTATAAAAGCAGTTGTAGTCAAAATTTATTGTAGAATGGTTTCCCAGAGTGGTGAGAAAACAACAAAACATTGACATACTGATCAAGAGAATCTCTGTACTGAAATTAATTAGCCTTAGTTCTCAATGGCATGTTTTTTCTTACAGGTAAAAATGTTGTTCATCAGTTGTCAGTAACTCTAGAAGACTTGTACAATGGAGCAACACGAAAACTGGCTCTACAGAAGAATGTGATTTGTGATAAATGTGAAGGTATGCTGATATAATCTTTAGTTTTAGAAACATTTTTATTGGGATTTAAACACACACACATTCAAGAGAATCCACATTAGTCAGAAGATGAAGAAATGCCTAATTTTTATGTGCTTATTTTTCTTCCTATTCTCCAGGCCGAGGTGGTAAAAAAGGTGCAGTGGAATGCTGCCTTAATTGCAGAGGGACAGGCATGCAAATAAGGATTCACCAGATAGGGCCTGGAATGGTTCAGCAAATCCAGTCTGTGTGTATGGAATGCCAGGGCCATGGTGAGCGCATCAGTCCCAAGGACAGGTGTAAAAGCTGCAATGGAAGGAAGATTGTTAGAGAGAAGAAAATTCTTGAAGTCCACATTGATAAAGGTCTGTATATAATACAGTGGGAGAATTAAGGGCTTAAATAGTGACAAAAAAGTAGCTTGTAGAAAACAAAGTACCTGTTATCTTCTGGTAATGAGCCTCAATCTTATGTCTGATACAAGACAGTAAAATGAGAGTCTGTAAACAAGGTATAAACCTTTGCAAATTTGGGTCTTCCAAAAGGTGTAGAAAAAAGCAGTAGTATTTGTAAAGCCTATTGAAGATTGGGGGGGGGGGGCTAACAGATTTACGGTCATAATGGCCAACCAGTAATTTTCAGTCATTGAGCTTGACTGGCCTTGGAAAGAAGCCCTGGGCTTGTTTCACTGCCCAGGTCCAGATGAACAATATGGTGAGTGAGACTGTTAAATGTTAAGGACTGACCATTAGGAGTCAAAATAGGTGACAAACTATGTCAGTCATAGAGAAAGGGGAGAAATTTAGCCTGCCCAAGTTAGCAAGTTGGGGAATGCACTAAAAAACAGTCCCAATGAAGATTTCATTAGGATTGGTGGGAGCATTGTTTTCTCCAAAGCTGAAGAATTGTGTATGCTAGACTTTCAGGTATGAGAGAAACATTGCTCTAGACAACCTAGAACAGTGATAGCAAACCTATGGTACGTGTGCCACAGCTGGCACGCAGAGCCCTCTCTGTGGGTATGCGAGCCATAAGTCTTGTGCAACAGGCAAAGACAGCTACCTCCATGAACAAGGAGACACCACAGCAACGCCTCCAGGAGAAACACCTTCTGGGCACCAGGCAGCTTGCGCAGTTCTGTGGGAGATCTCACGTGGTCCTTTGAGTAGGCAGGGTCCGCTGAGGATGTAACTTCTGCTCCTTAAGAAGCAAGCATAAGGGAAGGCAGTGAGAACTCTGAGTAGAACGTAAGCAGGGCTCTTCCTCTCTTCTCTGTGGGGCTGTTTCTTTAAGGGAGGAGGGCAGAGAAGAGAGGGGCCTTTTACTTGTGCAGCAGGACATACTCTAGCCAGGGTGTTACGGGTGATAGACTCAGCTTTCTGTCCAGATCTCTTAAATGGCTGGGCAACTTTGCTGCATTATAACTTGGCCAATTGTGCCGTAGGATAGGGCCTGAAGGGCAAGAAGGTTCTCATCCTATTCTACATAATAGATTCCCAATTTTGTTGTCACGTAAGGTAGACCTTATAGCACACTTGTCATATGGGAGTGAGAACTACATTTTTTCTACCTTTCCCATCCAGTGCTGTTGTCTGTGCCCCACAATTGGTAAGATTCTGTCTATTAAGCCTAGTGTTGGCACTTTGAAATTAATAAGTTGGTTTTGTGTTGCATTTTGGGCACTCGGGCTCAAAAAAGGTTCATCATCACTGACCTAGAACTATCTTGGGATAGGAGATCATGATGAAGTTGTGGGTAAATGGTGTGATATTATACGCATCTCAATATCTCATAACTCTTCTACATATAGCAAAGGGAGGGAATCCTGAGAATATCCCCTTTTCCAGTTATCACATTCAGGTTTAAGGTTTGATGGACAGCTTCCTGCTTGCCCACCTTTGAACATGAACAACCATCTCTGTTGGAAAAGTGTACTGTAATGCTAGATTGTTGGAGTGAGTTAGACAGGAGACTTCATAATTCAACCCTGTAGCCCATGCAGGTCTGTAGGCATGCCACTGCCTCACCTGGTGGGAGTGGGGCTACTCAGAAAAGATTTCTTTGTTTTTTTTTCTCTGTTCTTCATGAGGAAAGGAGAGGGATTGCAAAACCACCCATGATTTCAGCCAGTGTTTCCAGGTGCTGGCCAAGTCCTTATCAGATCTGGGCTGTGCTGCCGCTGCCAGTTAATTTTTTTTAAGTGATAGGTGTTTCAGATGTGACAGCATTATGAACAGTTCTTTGACATTTTTAAAGCATACATATAGGGCTCTGATTGAACTCTGCAAGTTTTGGCTCAGCTAAGTGGGTCAAGGATAATTAGATTGACTGTAGCGAATGTTACTGAGTACATACCCTGTTGTATAAAAGGTGTAAGCAAGATAAGTTTGATCTTGGACACATTTCATATTTCTATTGGGTTAATTGTATTAGTTGATTCCTCATGGCGCCAAATGGCTGTCGAAACTACACATAGTGCATGAGCACAGTGATGTGTTGGCTTTGGAAATGACACAAGCTAATGTCATATTTCTTCTCCAGATAAAGTTTTGGTAACGTGCTTTAAAACATTCTGCTTGTCTTTTATACTAAATATGCTCAAGTAGTTATAATAACTTACTAAAAACCCAAGGACATAGATTTGCTTGTTTATTACTTGTGTGATGATCTTGCAATAGGAATGAAAGATGGCCAGAAGATAACTTTTCATGGTGAAGGTGACCAAGAGCCAGGGCTGGAGCCAGGAGATATAATAATAGTTTTGGATCAAAAAGACCATTCTGTGTTCACAAGGTAAGTCTAATGTGGATGGAGAATGTGTGGTCCTCCAGATATTAATTACAAATCTTAACCCTTCCTCAGTATTGGCTTACTGACTTGGATTAATGGGAATTGTAGTCCGGTGACATCTGGAGGGCTAGGCACTATCCACTGTGGCATACAGTCATATTTGAGACATCTTACTTGGTCGCATAAGGAGAGCTGCTTAGATAAACATTGTATTTTTCGCTCTATAAGATGCATCTGACGATAAGATGCACCTAATTAAAAAGATAAAACTCCGCCCCAGCCAGCTTATCATCCGGAAGCGCTCCCTGCCCCAGAAGGGGAGGAGAAGGGCGGCGTGGTGGTGATGGCAGCGGTGGGAAGCCAGTATTTGCTCCATAAGACGCACACACTTTTCCCCCAATGTTTTTTTGGGGGGGGGAGAGTGCATTTTATGGAGCAAAAAATACATTATGTTGCCAGATGCCAGGATTTATTTTCCGTACCAGTGGAAAACTAAAAGGAAGCTGGAAGGTGAGGATCTACTGTGAGAAGTTCAAAGAGAATAGAGGATAATCAAAAGAGAAGGAGATTAACTATCGACCAAACCTAACCATGATTCTGATAAAACTTGTCTCAAGTGTGGATATGCTGTTACAATCTATAGGAGAAAAATATGTATATAAAACATCTTAAATTTATGGGGCAGAACTAGATAAACAAATTATTTAGATGACTCCTAATGGGTAAGCATTAAAATAATCTCTTGTCTGTTAGAGAACTTGAGAATCATCCTCCTCCAACCTTTGTTGTTTCATTTATACTTTCTCTCCCTTACTACTAAGGCTCATCCTGCCTTTGTCTGTCTGTATCTGTACTTTTCTACCTCTTCTCCCTTGCTTTTTTCTTACGTAGTTTTTTTCCATCTTCTGTGTGTATATTTGCATGTGCGTGGGGGCATACATCTTGTTTTGTTCGCTACCTCTTATAACCTGCTATAGAGGAGAACTGTCTTAAGGAGAATACCGTGGCCAGTTTTCCAGCTAAATTAGTGGAAGTCACTAGAAGTTTTAGCCTTTAGATATTTTTAATATTTTTAAATGTTCTAAAATAGTTTTAATCTTGATATATATTTAATTATTTTTAATATGACATTTATATGTTATTTTAACACTATTGGTTGTTGTATAGTTTGAGCCACCTTGCATTCTCTGGGGAGAAAGTTAGCATATAAATTTTAAAAATAAAATGAATGTGCGATGAAGTTAAGACAGTATGGCATTATTTCGCTTGTTATTTTCTCTATGGAATAGTAGAAAAGGGAAACTGTTGATTCTAAATTGTCATTACTCTGTGGCTGTTCTTTCCTAGTTAATACTAACAAGCTACCTGAAAAATGAATACTCAGTTTATTTTTACAGACTTGTTTTCTCACTGATATTCAGTACTGTAATTTGGGAAATAGATGATTAATCAATTCTTGGTCTTAAAAGTGTAATTTAAAAAAAATCAGTAAAACAGTTTCTACTTTCTTCCATTATTTTTCCTCATAGAGAAAAGACAACTACATTGCTTTTAAACCTTCAAAATCCTCTGTTTTGCCACTGAGCCTCTAAACCAATCTAGTTGTGTCATTTCTAGATTTTTCATACAGATTTTATAACTTTTTTGTTACATGCACACATTTCTAGTAGAGTTTTTTTAATCTGGTGAAACTGATTGCTGTTTATCTCTTTCAATTAAAAGAATAAACATATGAAATATCGTTGATTGCATAGATGCAAGAAATTCCTTGGTCTTCCTACCAGTAAACATTTGAAGATTCTCCAGTAGAGCCAAGGGTTCATAATTTAATGTTCTCATACCTGATATCTGATTGTAGCCCTTATCCTCTGCATGTTTACTCATGAGTAAGTTCCATTAAATTCAGCGTGGCTTACTCCTAGTTAAATGTGTATAGGACAGTAGCTACACCTAACAATGCCTCAGTGTTTCAAAAGTGGAAAAAATGTTTGGAAGTAGAGATCAACTGTAGTATCATTTGGCTTGATTTTTTTTCCCAGTGGAATGCCCCAATGATAAAACAGCTTGTTCATAATCTTCTTACTAGGATTTTACCTCTAATACCCTAAAAATTCTTCGTCAGATAAAATAGATGAACAATGGACTGACAACCTGTCCACATCATTTAAGGCCTTAATTTATCATTTAAAGCAATCGTTTCAACATGTAGACTGTGCAGTTTACAACTTAAAGTCACGATTAAGCCATGAAGTGACTGCTCCCCTAAGCACCTTTCTCCTTTCAGATGCCTCTAGAAAGTATAATTCAGCTTGATAAAAAGATGTACATTCCTTGTGAACAAAGCATATTCACTCCATGTGAACAAGATGCCTTGTCTTCAGTAAGAAATGGGGCTTTTTTTGCCACCATGGAATTTCAGTTACATTCTGTGGGGATACGTATAACTTGCTCAACACTTTTTAAAGACAACCTGTATGAACACTTGTTATATTATTGTTGCTCACCAGGAGTTAGTAAGGAAGTCTTGCTACTTGTAAAGACCTCCAGGCTTTAGCATATACTGAACTTCATGGCAGGAAAATTAATTAACTGGTCTTTTCATTATAGACAGCTACACAAATTAGTGCTGGAAAAACTTACCACTTGGTTGAGTTTGTTGGTATTGGGTCTTTGGATCTCTGAATGCAGACTTGGCTGATATTGCAGTTTTTAGCAGTTAGTAGGAGTAATTTGCCCTTCAACAAATGTTACCAAGTACCTACCCTGTTGTGTAAAAAGACATCAGCAGGAAAATTTGAATTAGAACTTATTTCATATTTCTATTGCATTAATTGTGAGTATCAGAAGTGTTAGGTGTTCTGTGGGGTTCCCATGTTTCTCTCAAAACATAGTGTTTTTACAACATGCAAAGTCATATGACTGGGTTCATGAATTGTATGAGGGAGCATTATGATCAGATTTCAAAGCAACCCCATTTCTTGCTACCGTCTACAGAATATCTGGTCTGCCATATAATTTTAGTTTGCCTAACTTTGTGCTGCGTGACTGAAGCACTTTGGATCAAATTGATCTGTGAATAAGTACGATCTCCACAATCCTAGGAGTGGGTTTCTTACTATAGAAAGTAAATGTAGGGCCTTCATGGATATTGTCAGCATTAAATTCTAGATCTGTACTCCTCCCTTTGCTTCAGTATATCCTTAACTACTTGTAGTATACTGAAACAGTTAGGTTGTGCTGTGGAATTGTTGTCCTGTACCATTTATATGTGACCCAGTAGCTCTGCAGCTGAGTGTTGTTGTTTTTCAGACGAGGTGAAGACCTGGTCATGTCTATGGATATCCAACTAGTTGAAGCACTGTGTGGCTTTCAAAAACCAATTGTGATGCTCGATAATCGGACCATAATAATTACTTCTCATCCTGGTAAGTGTGTATTGCTTTGATAAAACATGTTTTGGTGCTTGTTGAACAACATTATTGCTGGTAAGATGTTGAGTAGAGGATAGTCTAAACTAGCAATTAATAAAAATCTTCATCATTTCAACACTAGAGAGCAAGTAAAAGCATTATGATCTATAGAAATCTGCTCAGCCTTAACGAAACACAGATTTACAGCATGCCACATTCTGTATCTGTTTTAATTTACCGTATTTGCCGACGTACAAGACGACTGGGCATATAAGATGACCCCCAACGTTTCCACTCAAAATATAGAGTGAATGGTTCTGCTGCGGTGCCGGCGGTGAGGCCCGAGGAGGGGAAGCGGCCGGGCGAGCGACGGCAGAGGAGGAGGAGGGGAATCTCTCAGGCGGCAGGCAGGCGAGTGGGCAGATGGCTCAGCGACGCGGGGTGGTGGGCAGCCCAGCAGCGGGCTCTGTCCACTCAGGCATGGCTGGCTCTGCTTCCCTCCCTCTGTCCGGACCGCCTGACTGACTGCCTTCCTCCCCGGCTGGCGTGACCCTGTGTTACTCATTCAACGGTGGTGGCAGCTCTTTCCTGGCCCAACTCAAGTGCACCTGGCGTATAAGAGGACCCCCCCCCCCAACTTGGAGGCATGTTTTTTGGGCCAAAAAAGTCATCTTATACACCGTCAAATACGGTAATAATGAAATCAAAACATGATCCACATACAATCTAAGCGTGCCTCATTTTGACAGTTATTATATTTTGATAGATAGATTATGTTTAACTTAAATTAGGTAATAATAATCTTAGAACTGCAGAGCTTTAGGGAAGTACAATCGGTCCCAGCTGATCTTTGCCTCACAAAGTGGACGTAAATGTTTCAAGATTATCTTGGAAGTTATCTAATGTAATGCAGAACCATAACCTTTTTTTAGTTTGTAAGCAAACCTCTGTCAGTTGCCTGTTTTGACCAGCTACCATTTCAACTGCACATATGTGTTTCAGGACAGTTTAAAGTGCTGTACTGTGCATTGTGTTGTATGTAGTCAATTGATAAGGATACCTGTTGGTTTCTAGGGCAGATTGTCAAACATGGAGATATTAAATGTGTATTGAATGAAGGAATGCCATTCTATCGCAGACCGTATGAAAAGGGTCGTCTCATCGTTGAGTTTAAGGTAAGATTTCCATATAGAATCCTGTCTTGTAAGGCCTCTTGTACTCTAGTTTCTAGAGTTCAGTTTTCAGTGCATTGATTTGTATTAAAACAACTGTGCCACCTCTTCCTAAGTTTCAGTTTGTTGAACTATATTTACAATATATACAAAACAATATATAAGTGAAGATTCTTAATAGTGTCTCTAAATTTCAGGTGATTTTTCCAGATAGTGGTTTTCTCTCTTCTGATAAGCTGTGTCTGTTGGAAAAACTGCTACCTCCAAGACAAGAAGTGGAAGAAACTGAAGAAATGGATCAGGTGGAGTTGGTGGACTTTGACCCATCTCAGGAAAGACAGCATCATTACAATGGGGAAGCCTATGAAGATGACGAGCACCATCCCAGAGGTGGTGTCCAGTGCCAGACATCTTAAAATGGCTTCATGATTCTCCTTGTGCTGCTTGTCCTGTATGTCAGTTGTGGATGAATGAAGGACTAAAGTTGCTAAACCCTCTCAAACTTGCCATTGTCCCTGTAATATTTAAACATAGCTGTTTTTAAATCAAGTTAACAAATATAAATCAGTAAAACTACACTTCAATCAAGTTGGAATGATGTTCCATATGGCCTCCTAAGGAATCCAGAAGCCAATCTGCTCTGGCTTTTTTATTTTGTGCATTATATGTGTATTGTGTGCAACTGCACTCGTTAGTATTCAGTGATTTCTGTTTAGTATTATAAATTATATTATCTCAAGTATGCACATGTATTTATGATTCATGTTAAAATGTGAAATTAAAATTTTTGTATTCATCAGCTTCTAGATACATTGATGTGTGTTGGATGTACTGTGGCTGGCTGAGATTTCACAAGACACCTGCATGGCACTGTACCTTCTTCCCCTGAAAAATTAAAAGCTCTGCCCAGTCTCACAAGCTTTAATCCAAAAGCTGTGTAAAATCCCTTTTAGCGTTCTATAGGATCCTAGTAGGGCTAGTTGTTAAATGTTGAAAGTTCAAGCTGTATAGGGTCCGTATCAGATGAAAACCTAAGAGGCAATATGCCTAGTACTATAACTGTCTCCTGCCCCAAGAACAACTATGAGACCAGAAACACTTGTACTTTAACTAACTGAAACTGGGTTTAATTCTTGAAAATAGAAAATATGTGACACTTCTTAAGAGACAGTTGTGCAACTAAAAACTGATTGTTTTTAAAGATAGAAAATTGTATGTCTAATTTTATTACGGAAATCATTACCATTTGAATTTATTGCGTTAGTAGGTATCAGTGATCTTAAGAATATTCAGTTTCTTAGACTGCAGGAGTACTTGCAGGAAATCCCTTGTTGAAACTGGGAAACTAATTGAATTAATCACAATAATTTAAGAGTTTCTAGTTAGTTTCTTGAAAGGGCTACATCCATTTTCAGTCATTTATTCCATATTCATGGATAGTGTACCACAAGCTTGTACAGTATTCCAGTTCATAGGTAGCCCTCATTAACCGCAGGAGGGCTTAATGATTCAAGTGCCTCTTCTGGGACTCAAATGTACTTAAGGTGACACTTGATCTTTTTCTAAGAATTTCATTGCTAAACATTTGATAGGCAAGTCCAACATTAGTGCTTAGCTGTACACACAGACCAAGTAGGTTAACAAGTATAGCAGTCTTAATTCTTTATGTAGTTCTAATGCAGGTCTTGTACATCTTGAGTTTTTAATCTGCACTTTCTTCCTGGGGTTTGATTTAGGTTGTATAACAATTTATCATTGTCCTTGTGATAAGGATGGGTTAGTGGAATTGAGTATGTGACTTAATGCTTGCATATTGTAATTTAATCTTAAGTTTCAACCCAGGGGGAAAATAAATATTGTCATAACAGTTTCAGGTCTCCTTTTTGACTTTCTTGATCAACCATTTAAGTATGATAGTGCAGGGGAAAAGTTCTGTCTAGGAGGCAGTGTGCCTCCTACAGTAGGTGTCTCTTGCCCCAGAAAGTTATGAAACTAGAAGCACTTATATCTCAGCTAACTGAAACTGAGTTTAGGGAAAGCACATACATTTCAGAATTGCCAAAGCACATGCTATGGCATCTTTGTCAAATGCTTAGACACATTTTCCTACAGTTTCTTGTTTGGTTTAATTTCTCGATCAGGCCATACTTCACAAACATGGCAGAACCCGAGGGGTCAACTAGGCCAGCGATCCCCAACCTTTTTCCATCTGCAGACCGGCTTGGGAAGGTGGGACACCCCCTGTGCTTGTGCGCATGCACAAACAAACATGCTTGTGCACGTGCACGCATGTGCAAACGACAGTACCGCCATTCGTGCAGGCACACAAGTGCGCACGCAGGTGCAAACAGCCTTTGCAGGCGTGAGTGCATACGGAGGGTGGGGCGGGAGGTACATAAAATATGCTACATAAACGCTTGACAAGATTTAATTTTAAATGAGCAAACTCAACATTTGTACATTCTCTGTAAACATAGTTCAGCTGCTGAATAATTAGAACTTATTGAAGGTTTCCATGTTTCAAAATCACAGTAGATTTAGCGCTGACTGACTCTGAAGTGCACAATGTACAGAGACTGGTGGTTCTAAAAAGCACCCATATCGTGTCCCATGCTAAAATGCTCTCGTTAAAGCACTTTTTATAATCTTAATGTTCTTAAAAATGAACATCAGAATATTTGCTTGATAGACAAGGCAGACATCTTTGTAATAAATGAAGCTTTATTGTGGAAGAAACAGAACCACAAAGTAAATGGCTCCAACTAAAAGCCACATACGTCTAGAAATCAGAAAATGACCACTTGGAAGATTATTTTTCAAAATGACTTTGATCAAAATGACTGCTTTCCTGAAAATAGTCAGATGAAGCTTACTAACTAAAGATAAGTCGGGCAATTAAAAAAACTTAAATGTTCATGACTATACAGTATTTTCTATGCTAATCAGACTAAATTAACTACAGAATCGTAGTTAATTACCATAACAAGCAGGGGGCAAGCATATACAAGCAATATTCTGTGAAACTGAACAATCTGCTACCTGGATACATAACTAGCATAACATCCATCTGAAAAATTAGTACATGTTTCTCTCTTTGGACACCTTTCTATAAAAAAGTAAAATAAAACATTTTTTGCCATTTTAAGAACTAAAAAGAACTACACAATGACATATACATTTTTCATGTATTCAAGAACTACGCATTAAAGGGAATTAAAAATTCACTCTCTATGGTTTCCACAGCTTCAGAAGCCCATCTTCACTGTAAGTAGCTATCAAGTTCTGATGGGGATGGTGAGCAATACCAATGACATCCTTTTCATGAACCTAGATATTGGATGAACAAAGAGATAAATCAATAGAAGGCCAAGTAAAGTATTTGCTGGCCTCTTAAGCCTTCAATAACAATTAAAGCCAGAAAGCCTTTGTGTAGCTGATGGAGTGACGGACTACGGAGATGGATCTGATTTCCTCTTAGCCATAGAAACCCAATGGTGTGCATGTGGCAATGATACTGTAAAACAACTCCTGAAATGTGTCATACTTCAAACCTCATTAGGGTCACCATAAGTCAGATGTGACTTGATGGCATGTAATCAACTAAAAGATTGAAATATAAAAGAATATGTAGCAGTAATATAAGTTTGAAAAAAAAGTTTAATTATCTGCCAAACAGTTGCACATCATGCCTAGAGTTCAATGAGAAGCACATACCTTAAGTCTCAAGATTCTCCTAATACACGCTTGCAAACTGCTACTTTTCAATTAGTTTGTGACTAAAAGCATATCAAGGAATACTAGAGTAGGATAAGATAGCTGTTAGGGATGCCACAGTAAAACAGGATAATAAAAGGGTGAATTAATCAGGCATTCAGATAAAAGTATATGGAAGGGCTGCAGGGTTATGAAACAACCATTGAGGAAGATTCCGTGGAGGGAAATAAAGTGGCAGAGTAGTCACAAGCTGATAGCATTCTCAACTGCCTTTCAGTTTCACTGGCTTGTTATCCAACAAATAAAGTGGCTTTTTTCTCCAGATCACTAACATGTTCCCCTATATATATATATATAGGGGAACATGTTGATCTGGAGGAAAAAGCCACCTGTACAGGATCCAGGGTCACAGAAAACAAGGCAGGAAAACTGCAATTTGGAAAAGTCTGTTTTGTATCATTAATCTGCTAGGTTAGTTAACACTCCTGTGAGGTATTAATTTGCAAAGCTGCATTAAAACAAGTCGCAGTACACAAGTTACAGCAGCCAATTCTGTATCAAGAAGCAATAGTGTTTCTCTGTGTTAATCAGGAGTAGGAACTGGCTGAAATCCCATTGGCCTAACTATGCCTATGGACAGTTGATGACATCAGCAGGAGGCGACAATTTTCGAAAATGAAAGACCTCCTATTTCTGTCCTGCTGTTCAAACGGTTCCCACACAACGCCCTTTCATCATATGGAAGCTGTGGGAGCTGCATAATGGAAAGGAGCAGCTTTTAATTACTGAAAATCGCTGCCACTGGAATATCACCAGCAGTGGCAATTATTCAAAGACTTCCTCTTCCCATCTTGCATATCCCATAACTTCTAAACAATGAAAGGGATTACACAGAGGCTGTGCACAGAAGCAGGCTGTCATGATCACGAATATGTAATTTAAAACATGTAATGTGGATGGTTCATGTAGTCATGAGAATATGTAAAATGGATTCAAAATGGTTCTGTGTGAAGTTGATTTTGAGGCACGGCAAGGACAAGATAAGGAGCGAAGTCAATACATTCCATCCTAATTGGGACCAAGATTAGAGGAGGAAAACAACACCTGGATTCCTCTGGGAATGGAAGGCGGGACGAGATCAGACAGCCCTAAATCACAATTGGTCAACTCCTCGAAAGATGAAGAAGGAGGGTGGTGCTTAGCAAATAGAAAAATGGAGATTTTGCTATGTGAAATGTTCCTTAGTCCTTAGAGAGGCTTTGGATCCTTTTTTGCCTTTTCTCTTTATCTTGGAATAAGGGATTGGGTATGTAGGGAACAAGAGAAAGAAAGAGGGGGGCTTTATGCCTTTACCTACCCCGAAGAAAGCTTTTTTAGAAGTTTAGTTATTTTCTACTTAGCTGGAAAGTGTTATTCATTTAACTGCAATATTCTGTGGAAATGTAATCTTGCTTCGCTTATGCAACAAACTGAATATCTATACAGACTTTCTTTTTCAATTAAAAATTTAGTCTTGAACTTGCTGTTCAAAAGACCATTCTTAAGGATTTTTAAGAATGGTCTTTTGAACAGCAAGTCTGCTGAGCCTGCTTCAAGGGGGGGTAGCAAGGCCACGATTTTGCTAATGCCAGAGTCTTATCTTTCTGAGCTTTAGTGAGTCTTCAGAGACTACAAAGGCCAGGCACCTGTACTTGTTAAGGCTAATAAAGTGAAGGAGTGAATCTTTAGGCCAGACTTGCGGGAAAGGGTCTGTGATATGCCCTGGGTGGTGTTGCTAGGACTCGGCCCAGCTGGAAAGGGGTATCTAGACGCCTGGATGCTCTCTGGCCAACTAACAGCGCTCTCTAGAGGGAGGCCGATTCGTGACACAGGCCATGTTCAATTTCTAAAAACTGCCCTCTGATTATGATGTCATCAGTCTTCCTCCGGCAAAGCTACACCAGGATTTCAGCCATTGCATCTTAATAACTGGACACATAAATGAATGAATACTATTTCGGTAGCATATAGCACCTTAAGGATCCACAAGTCTTCAATTCATCGGGTCTAAAAGAGCTTATCCACAAGAAAACCACTTCATCTTTAAGATGCCACAATGCTCTTTTGCTTTGGCTGCAACAGACCAACATGGCTATGCACCTCAAAATATAGCTACAGAAAGACTCCATAACAAATAAAATATATGGAAGCCATTGGATGAACTCCTAGTTCAGCGTCTGTTTCAGTCAGTAAGTAGCCTTAAACAACCTGTGCTTGATTTTCCAGCTGAACATGCAGATACTGAACCTCCTGCTCTTTCCAAAGAGTGCTGTATGAATTACTAAAAATAATGAGTAAGAAATACTTTAAACATTGATAGTCTATGTATGTCTTAGCAACACAATACTGGAATCTTGATGAGATTATACAGCATTCCTGTTAAACAGCCCACCTCTTGGCTACTCACCGTGAGAGTTCTCTCCAGCTTGCCTGTCACTGTGCTGAAACAGTAGAGCACAAAATCTTCACCCACACAGTAGATCCACTCGCCTCGTGGAGAAAGGGCACAGCAGACAAAGTCACCACCTTCTCTCTTACCTGAGCTGAAGCTTCTCACAATCTACAAAGTCAAAAATATATATAATAAATCAATTCCCGGTGTACTGTCAAACACTGAAATGCTTTCCAGGGCTGGCAATAGGAGTTAAGAGAACACCAGTCTCAAACAAAGTCTATCAGTAATTCACCAAACGGCAAGTAGAGTGTCCTGAGAGCCAATACCAAAACTAAGCAGGAGCTTTTTCTTTATTTATCAGCCTGATGGGCAACCAGGGGAATGGAATGGGAGTACCAGTGCTGCATTACTGCTCTTGATGCAGCATCATGACTAAAGGCAAAATGTGTTGTGAACTCCATGGCTTAAATCTCATCCAAATATTCCCTGGGGAAGCCATTATTCTTTTTGGCCTCCGACCGCACTAAATCCAAAACTTAGTAGCCGCTCTAGAGGCCTTTAACTATGGGAAAGAATGACCAAGTCGAAATGAGATGACAACATTATGGAGAAGAAAAGAGAGGGAACTTGGAGAGTTCTGAATAGATGTTTTAGCTTTTAAAGCCCCTTCATCAGGCCAATGAATTCTGTGAAACACAACACAAAATCCCAAAAATCAATAAATAGGCAATTGGATATGTGGAAAATTAGAAATATTGAGCAAGGATCATGATCCTCAGGGATTCAGAATGTATTCCTTACTAGAGTACCAATGAGAGTATTACCTAGCAGAAGGCCTATTACGCTACCCAGAAAATCCTAAGAACAAACTGGCACAATATCACCATAATCGGAGTCTTGATGGTGATTTACTTGTGCATAAGTTAAACAGCATAACTCAGTGTGGTGAATTGTTGCTACTAACTGATGCAGTGGGGCAAATATTGAACACACCCGTCGAACACCAGTTAATGTCAATTTGCAGCAGTGAGTTATGCAATTTAATTTACACACATGTAAATCAACAAGATTCCAATCAACAAATTACAAAAAATTTCACAGATAAAGAAAAAGAGGGAAATGACGGCATTTTCTTCACCCAGTTGACTAAAACTACAGAACCCTCCAAGTCCAAAAGGACCTGAAGATTGTGCTCCCAGTCATTTCAAAGCTCTTGGCCTCTAATCACATACTTGTCCTTGCATGTTCATAATGACAACTGTATTTGATCTGTTGCAGACAACAAAATGCTCTGGATTTTTAGGCAGTAGAATCACGCTGTTCACAGTAATGTCCGTGCCAGCGGTGCTGCCAAGTGATTTGAAGGTGTTACAGCATTCCGTAGTCTTCATGTTCCAGACCTGGCAAATAGGGAAAGAAAAGAAAAGAGGGACAGAGACCATGAGCACAGCTACATATTACACATAAGCAAGCCTCTAGAACTCTGCCGTGCAACACCAGGGAATCTGCACTCTGGAAGTGGCCTTGTAGAGTATGTTTTGTGGAGAGTGCATTTCATTCCCCTCCTACATCCCAAATCATCTCAAGGAATATCACTCTTGTACACCCCATACTGGTGCACTGCTTGTTACAATGACAGAAGTATAATTATTTCACAATGAAGATGAGTTACTGAAATTTAAATTTAAAAAAATCAGTCCACAATTGGTGGCCAAGTATTTTAACATAAAAAAGTAGAGTGTTTCTAGAAAACAGCATGACTGTCATTCCTCATCAGAAGATATATGGATGCAGTATCTCAATGGGCTGCAATTAGCAGAGAAAACTTGAGAGATGGAAAGTGGAACATCACAGTTTTTGTGATGCACGAGTTTGCCACTGCACGGTGTTTACTATGCTAGTGATAATATTATATGCAAAAACTAAATGAGCAAACCAAAGAAATGACAGAACTGTCAGGTCAGTAACCCAAGCTTACCTTCACTGTGCCATCAGAGGATGCACTGATAATGTAATGACCATCCTGTGTAAATGTGGCTTCATTTACAAATGAAGAATGGCCACGGAATTCCTTGAGAGTCTTCCCCGATTTCAAACCATGGATCCTGTTACAGCATCAAAACTCCATTAGTATCGCATAGTCAGGTCAGACTGAATAGCAGCAAAAAAATTAAACAAACAAGGCATACCTGATTGTTTGGTCAAAAGAGGCACTAAGAATCTGACTGCTATCCTTTGAAAAACTCAGGCATGTGACACCTTTACTGTGGGCTCTTTCAAATCGCCTCAGACACTGCCCACTCTGAATCTTCCACACCTTGGAGAAAAGAAGAAAGAATGTTTGTTACCTTCACTAACAAGCTTCTGATTTCAAGTGAGTTGAAATTTTCTGTTGTTATTGCCATCTAGAGAATCCAACAAACTCAGGGATTAATCTCTTAAGTTAAGAAGTCAAACTGCTACTCACTGAATAATTAAAATGGAAAATGCATTCCATACAAAAGTGAGTGGAGAAAAGACTGTGGGTAAACTACATAGAAGGAAGTGGAATATAAAATATAATTTTATTTTCATTTCGCTGTTTAAACCAGTTTTGCAAATAAATCTACAGAAGTTGCTAATAAACCAAAACAATTAAATATCACAGTTCATGTTCCCCCATACATCTCCATGGATCACGTGGATTTCATCAATAGTCTAAACAAATTAAACAACCAAGGTTGTTTTATTTGCAAAATTTAAAAAAAAATATTGCTTGCTTGCTCACCTAGAAACAAAAATTATGGCTTCCATAAAAGCAGCTATTTATAAAATCTCAGGATGTATCCAGTATTTACACAAGTAGTAGTCAATCTGATGTAATCCAAAACATCTGGAGGGCAACTACCATGGTTTGTAACCTACATAATCAATGCTCAGGGATCATGGTAGTTATAATCCCAAACATGGAAAGCACTATGCTCTTTATCCTCTCTCTAGAGTTATTAAGTTCAGCAGTAGCCTGAAACTCTCACACACTGGACCACGAACATTTTCATTACAAATTCAATTCATTTTCAGTGTGTTTACTTGCTAAACTTGCAGGTCCAGTGTCAAATCTTCAAAGCAGCCAAACTCTCTGGGATTTCAAACATTAGGAACAGCATTAATGACCCAAATCCCCATGCTTTGTGTAGTCAACTGCACTAGAGTGGGTGCACTGAATCAATGGGGAACTGGTGCATCAACACCCTCTAACTTTAATTGATTCAAATGAGCTTCTTCTAACAGTGACTTACTTTAGCATGGTAAGTTGCAGTTAAAGTAGCCCCAAATGAATCAACAGAACCTATGGGATGGATTCACCAAAACCCCACTGATTCAATGGGCCTACTCTAGTGCAATTAACTCTGTTAAGCAACAAGACCTGGCCAATATCACCTGCACTTTTACACTGTCAGAAGCAGAGATGCCAGAACACAAGGCAGATTAACAAGAATATCTACAGTAAATGCTGTTGCTTATATCTCTGCATGGTTCTGTTACAGCAGGGGTGGGCAATTAATTTCTATGGGGGGACCACATGAAAAATCTGAACTGTTTTCGGGGGCCGAACCAACTTTACTTAAAAATAAAATGAAACAGTGATGTTATGATTGTTTTTATTTTAAATTTGTTAATCTTCACAAATACTAAAGAGGTTTTTTGTGATATGTTAAAGATAAGCAACTGATCAACTTTAGACAAAAAGCTATAAATGGTTTTGATGTTCAAATCTGTCCGCAGGCTGGGCAGGAGTGGCTCGTGGGCCGTATGTGGCCCTTGGGCCGTACTTTGCCCAGGTCTGTGTTACAGTCTTGTCAATAATGAAAATTTGAGTTGATGGCATGTTGGAATGAATATCGAACTGGAAGGGGAAAGTACTTTGAAAATGAAACCGCTTTTCATAATGAGGCTTTGAGTCAATTGTTTCCAAGCCCAAGCACACTGCTTCCAGCCAGCTTAAACCAAGGTCAATTCCTGATAACATCGCTTCGAAGTATTTCATTCATTGTGGGATGGTTTTAGTGAGTATGTAAACAAAGTCATGGAATATTTTTAGGGTAAAATTTGCAAACAGAGATAAGATTATGGTGCTTTTTATTGTTAATTGATATATTCTAGAAATTTATTCTTTGCCATTTTGGGCTATTAAGCATTTGCATTTTTATAATGTACCTTGTAATGCTTTCATTGTTCTTCTTTTACTCTAAAATATTTTTGTTCCTCTATTTTTTACTTAAATATCTGCTTACAGCTTAAGTTCAGGTTTCATATATTTTTAATGTACATATGCCTACAGTTTTTGCATAGCTGTAAGACTTCTGGATAATACAATTGGAAGTAATTTTGTACATATGGAACCTAGAAGCAATGCAGATAAACAAAGCTTGCAGAAAGAGCAAGCTGATGTTGCCTGGAATTATTGCAACAGTGAAAAGACTTATACTCTGACACTCAGATGTATACTGGTATGACTGTGATTACTTGATTTTATTTTGAGATTAATCTTTTATTGGTATAAATGCCAGCTGTAATGAACAGGCTTCTGATTTTCCCCAAGAGGTCTATATACCTGTGTAGGACTCCTGGGAGAGTCAAGCACACTAGCTAAGTATCGGACAGTCTTGTCCCCTTTAGTCATCTTCCGCGGGCAGAGTAATCCTGCTATGTTTCTCCAGGAGGTATGACTGGATTAATCAAGTGATTCTTGATGCAGACAGGCAACAGAATGCCTTTAGGACTGACTGTAATTTCTCACAGTGCAAGGCAATACTGTTTTCCCTGTCTCTTTTGTAAGCAGCAAATCACTGCAGAAATATACACAAAAACATGGAGTGGATGTCTCTGGATGGGAAATACTTATATTCTGGATGTAACCATGAAATGAGCTTCAGCTAATTGTATATCAGCTCCCAGAAATTTAGGACATATAGGCCAAAATCCTGTTGTGCAATTACACAAAACGCATAACTTTTGGAAGCAATTTGATGTATGTTAATAAATCTCCACAGACACTCTGTTGCATGCCAAATCACACTACTCAGCTTGCAACAGATTTCTTTACTTATGGCAATTCACATTCAGAAGTTCCACTTTTTGAGTATCAGCACAACAGGATTTCAGTCATAGTTTATGCTAATGTTGCTAGATTCCTGATACTGCATACCTTGATCTTCCCATCCTGTGCTCCAGTTGCTAACATTTCAGTATCTCGACTGAAACACATGCATAGCACTGCATCATCCATCATCATGAAGTTATCCTGTGCTTGATATTTCAGATCCTATATGGAATAGTGGATAATGCATCAGTCATATATGGAAGAGAAACAAAAGAATCCAAGAACCACAATATCCAAATGTTTATAACATTCATGAAAAGAGCTGTTTTATGCTGGCTCACACGACTGGACCTCCCAAATAAGATTATTTGTAATACAAAATGCCAGGAACCTGGGGTCACAAACACACAAAAAGTATGTGTTCAACCCAAGCCACATGCTCTCCTCTTAATGCCATCTAATCAAGAATTAAGTTTAGCACAAGGGACAGAATCTTTTGTTTTCAACACTCACACAATGGTCAACGCAAGCACGTGTTCATTCAGTGGTTTGTGCAAAAAACCATTCATTACCTCCTTGTCCATGTGGAAGCCCCATTGCTTTCAATGGGTGATCTCTAGCTTGTTGAAGTGCAAACCAATGATCACCTCAGGCATTACACCCCATAGTCCTTTAACAGGATTCTGCCTAAGATGTCTTAGTGGAGCTTCCCTGCAAATTCTCTCTCCAGTCTATTTTATCCCTTCTAATTGCCTTCTTTCGGGCCTTGAAAAACCCTGGTAGTAAGGGGCAAGAACTATGAACCATTTCTTTTGTTCCCTCTTCAAATGCCTCCCTCCAAATCCATATCAGGCAGAAAACATTTGGTCTAGAATCCAATGTATTCCCTTCTGGTATCAACCCCAATTTTGAGAAGATGCTGACATTTTTTAAAAAACGCACTATATTAAACAAGATTTCAACCTACGTATTCTAATTCTTAGAATCCAATGTATTCCCCTCTGGTATCGACTCCAATTTTGAGAAGATGCTGACATTTTTTTTAAAACGCACTATATTAAACAACAAGATTTCAACCTACGTATTCTAATTCTCCAGCTCAATTTAGATAAACTGTATTAACTACTACTAGCCATCAAGTTGCTTACGACCTACATCAACCCAATGAATGACCTCTAAAAGGTTCTATCACTCATAGCCATTCCGTGTCTTGCAAGCTAAAGGTAGTGACTTCCTTTCTTGAGTGACTCAACCTCACATTAGGTTTTCCTCTTTTCTATTCCATTCTTCTTTTCTTAAGATTCTTGCCTTTCCCAGTGAGTCTCATCTGCCACAAGAAAGAAAGAATGTCCCTAAACATCTAAGGCTGTGTATCTGCGGAGCAGGTGAGATGGAGGATGTTCTCCGCTATTTACTGTCAGCTATATCAAAAACCCCGAGAAAAGCTCCTGGGTAACATTTTGGCTACTCTACAGGAGGAAAGCCCTCAGATAAAGGTGGTCAGGTTACTCTTGGACTGTGACCCTGATGTTACATATTGAACAGCACTATTCGCAAAAGCAGCCAGAAATATTCAAGCTAATTTTCTGAAAGCCATTGTGATCAATTGTGTGGCAGATTCCCAAATATGAAGGGTCTCTTATTATTTTACATGTCTGTGATTTTATCCTGATTTTATTTGACCATATCTGTATTTTAAACAATTGTGACAGCTTTTAGCTAATACAATAAACTTGAACTAACTAGAACTGCCACAAGAGAGAAAACCTACGACACTAAATATTTATTAAAACTGAATTTACTGTGGTCAAAGAACTGATGAAGAGCACTCTGTGCATTTAACACTTTACTTCACAGCCAAGAACATCCAGTTTTTACCTTTCTGATTTTTCCAGTGGTGAAGTTCCACACCTCAATGAACCCATCAACAGAACCCGTGACCAGATACTGACCGTCTGGAGAAAATCGAGCACACTCTACATGAGACTTCTGGCCAAACTGTTTTAAGTGGAGAAAAAAATATAATTTCATGCTCTGATAAATAACCTTCTGCTGCAGGAATATGATGCATAAATCAATTGGCTGTTCAAATACTACTCCCTTTTTAGATGAAGGAAAGACTACAGTAATAGTAAAAAATAACCCTCAAGAAGATATATTCAATTTTGACCTCATTCATCAGAATCTATAAGGAAATAGTTGTCAGTAACAACCTAACTGAAAAAAAGATTGCTTTCCAGCACGCAAAAGGGGTTTTTAACTCTGTATTGTTAGATATTACTGAATTGGAGAGGAATGAGCCAAGAGGAATCAGCCATCATGCATATATAATAAAAAGCTACATGGCACCACTCCTTTCTATAGCCAGGTTGAAAATGGTGATTTTTATTTTTGTACATTTCACACACTACACATTCATAGCAACAGATACAAGTAGGAAGAGGAAGGATGCTTCTGGGGCCTTGGCCCCCAAAGCTATTCTAGCCCTTTCTCTAAATTCTCAAATGGAATATTAAAACAATTTAATTTTTAGCTTTAAATAAAAACAATGAAGGCAATATTCGACCCAGCAAAGACAGAATACAAACCAACTATGATAGCATATTAGGATTTTGTAAACTTTTATTTCTTGTAACTCTCTATAAGTGCCTTTCTTAAAAGAAACCCTCCCTGAAACAAAACAAAAAAAACAAAACAAACCTAAATTTTTCACTTGCTGCCAGTAAAAAGAATTAAAAGTATGAGACTGACAAATACATGGGCATGTTCCTAAATTAGACATTCACAAATCAGAGTGTTCTAAACATAACATCCTACATCCAATTTAGTTCCAACAAAAACAGACCCACCGAAATGAATGGGACTAATAAGTGAACACTAGCGACCCACTGATTTCAGTTGGGAACTAAAACTTAATTTACCTAATTAGCTTTTGATAATAATAATCTATAATAATCTTAGAACTGGTAGACCTGGAAAAGACCTTATAGATCACTAAGTCCAGCCTCCATTAAGGAGGCACAGTGGGGAATCGAACTCCCAACCTCTGCCTCCGCAGCCAAAGACCTAAACCACTGAGCTATCCAGTAGTCTTTCTTTATTCTGATATTATTATGGTCACTAGAGTGTTTATAACCAGCATTCCCCTTACCCAAATCTGGCTATGGTCCAACTAAGGGTGTGCTCTTTCATATTTTTGAATTTCCGTTCCCAAATTCTTCTGGGAATTGCAATTCAGAGACCAAAATCAACACACCTGTAAGTCCCCCTGCCCTCAGCACAGAGGGGCTTTCCCATGATTTATCTGCACCATTGGACTCCTCCACCATTCCAGTTTTCTGGAGTAAGTTTGTAAACAAAGGAAAATGTTGTGGCGTTTCCTGGGAGGCATAGTTTCACTGTTGATTGGTCTCTATGCAGAGGGCTCCTCCCAAAGTACTATGTCTTCCAGGAAGCACTGCTAAAACTTTCTTTTTTTACATACCAACCAAAGGAAATAGGAGGGCTGTAGGAGATCGGTTGCGCTGATAAATTGCTCAAAAGCCCTTCTCTGCATGGGATGGGGGCATGCCTACAAGTGCTCTTGAGAGAATTCTGGGAACTGAAATCCAAAAATCTGAAAGAGCCCACTCCTAATCTCAAGCATATTCAAGAAGCCTCCAAGCCTCACTAATCATACCATCTCAGGAAGATGTACTGAATTGTCAGAACATTTTATTCATTAAAAAATTGCCTGTAGACCAGTGTTTCCCAACCTTGGGTCCTCAGATGTTCTTGAACTACAACTCCCAGAAATCTTGGCCAGCACAGCTAGCAGTGAAAGCTTCTGTGAGTCTTAGTCCGAGAACATTTGTGGGCCCAAGGCTGGGAACCATTGCTCAGACGAATCAGGCCCATCCCTTGTAAATAACAACAAAGCACTCGCCTTAATATGCCTGCTCAGCAGTGAAAGCTTCTGTGAATCTTAGTCCAACATTTGGAGGCCCAAGGCTGGGAACCATTGCTCAGATGAATCAGGCCCATCCCTTGTAAATAATAACAAAGCACTCGCCTTAATATGCCTGCTCAACTGTGTGGGAAACTTTTCCTCTTCAACATCTTTGACAGCTGCTTTGCCTCTAAACAAATCAATTGTCATACCAGGAGGAAGCAGTCCCTGATGCTGTTGCCATTTCAGTGCCTGAAAAAAAAAAACAGAGAAGATTAAAGGCACAGCTTTTCCTGTTTTGTGAAAGCCTAAAGTTATCACAGCAAAATCAGGCATGACTTTTCCTTGGTGCAAGGGAAATTACAAAAAAATTTGTCCTCTTCAAGATGAATTAAATTCACCCATGTATGAAATGCGAACACTGAAAGTTAATTAAACAAAGTCATTTCTGGGATTCTCTATTTTCCATTTCAAACATGAGCCTCAGAAGGAAAACACTTACCTGTCCCAATAATGCCATGAGACGAGAGGGAGGCACGACACTCACTTCCCCGGCCAAGGCTTGGGCAATGGCAGCTCTCCGCTTCTCTTTGCTGCTCCCATCTGGGTAAGCCTTGGAAAGAACAAGATCCAGACTAGTACTTTTCCTACTAATATACTGCAAGCTGGGCGTCAGCAAGATTTCTGCATCTGCTATTTACTAAATATGAATCTGTAACATGAGGATCCAAGTGTTCTGAAAAATATCCACCTAACTGATTTTGAGTCAAGTGAAAATATTAACCAAACTAGTGGCCATCAACATCTCTCTGAAAGAATTCATTATAAGTACTGGAAATATCTTTTGGGAAGAATTCCAGAGAGATTTGATGGGATACACATGTGCTTTTTCAACTACCCTTTACCTTTCCTCAGATAATATGCATCCTATGAGTAAAACCACTATTTTCTGCTCCTTTAAAAGGAACAAAGCTTCCTCATTGCAGAAGATATGGATTTAGACAGAGACACAAGGCTGCTCTGCTTGCTAACTAGTACACAGAGCTTATACCCAAGGGCAAATCTAATGAAAAATTAGTTCCAGAAATCAAGGGAATAATTGCAGTGCTGGAATAGATGATGCAGTTTACAACCATTTCCCCTGACCAAATGTTTCAGCAGAACATTATAAACATGATAAACAGTTTTTTAAAAACCTATTTGAGCAAAACCATTAAAATCTGTCAAGTCTTAAGCCGAATTTAACTGTAAGAGTTTTAAGAATCAATGCTCTTGCACTGACACATACAGTCTCCTTGTGTCAAGACCAACAGCATTCTATCCTGCCTTGATGTTGCATTATTGGGAAATTCACTTTAAAAATCAAAGTTTAATCAGAGTTTTCAAAGTAAATCCACATTAACCTGGACTGCCACTATTACATGCAATGCTAAACCAGAGGCTAAACTCAAGATCAGTACTACCTAGAATAGGGTTATTAAACTTAATGTTCAGTGAGTCGCAGCTAACAAGTCCTGTTAATTTCTACAGTTCTCCTCAAGGTATGACAGTTATTTGATGTGTGTAGGTATTAGCACAAAATAAGGAAAAGAGTAATGGAAAGTGGAAGCAGAATTCAACAGGGCACGTATAATCCCTAAACTCATTTCCACGGGTCTTCAAATAAAAGTTAACCCAACCAAGCTTAGTAAAAAACCTAAAAACTCTAAATTATATTTTCAAAAATGCAACAGGCATTTTGGAAGATAATGAACACCAGCCTGTCTTTTATGAACTGGAACTGTTTCATCCAAAGTTTCAGATGGACGATACACAAAAAACCCTACAAGAAAGTTATCTAATTAATCAGCAATGCCTTCAGAACCCTCATGGACTCAAGAAATGTATATTAAATAAAATATCATGAAACAAAAAATACAGAAGGAAAATAAAAGAATTCACATTCAGTCAGATTCAGTCCCCCTTTGACACAAGTATTGAAAAATACAGTGTCAATCTCAGAATTGTGAGGAAACATTGAAAAAACAAACTTATCCTCTTTATCAAGGGGGGAATAATTGGTCAAAATGGGGCAGTAGGGTCAAGAAAAACCCATAATATCTGTACAGGTTTTGGCTAGAATATGTGTACCTCACGTGGATCAAAATAGGACCTTGCCAACAGATTCTCAAGGTGAATGTATCGCTCTGGCTGAGTCTGCTTTAACATAATCATCGGGTCAGTTTGTCTCAGGAGAGATCTGGCAGCGCCCAGTTCCCGAAGCTCTATCAATTCCAGAACAACCTGAAACACCAGGACAAAAATAGTATCAGCGACATGAGCATCTTGATGAAACCTTCTGATTATTTACAATAATGTTGTCTCCTATCTTTTGGCTAAAACTAGCATTTAAGGAGGCTTGAAAATTAAAACCAAGTTGTAAGAACAGAAAATTAGGCTTTCTCAGCAGGTTTTGAACTGAAGACACCAAAGGCTGAAACCAGAAATCCATTCTTTTGGCCATTACTAAAAAAAGGATTAGTGAAACGACATTAGGAAAACCACACTCCAAGACTTTCGTAATAGGAGTGACCATCACTCAGTGCTAGAGCACATGCTTTGTATGCAGAAATACCAGATTTAATGTCCAGCATCTGCAGGTAGGGCTAAGAAAGAATCCCCACCCGAAACCCTGGACAGCTACCACCAGTCAACACTGTGCTAGATGGACAAAAAACGCTGACAATACAAGGCAGTTTCCTATGTTTCTGCAAGACCCACGTATATGCTATTAATTCAGAATCAACTTACAGCTACCCTAAAAAGGCTTTCAAGGTAAGTGAGATATTTAAGGCATAGTTTTACCAGTTCCACCTCCCTGAATTTTCATGGCCAAGCAAGAATCTGAATCCAGATCTCCCGAGTCCTAGGCCATTATTCAATCACACTTGGTATCCTAGGAGTCAATTAGTAAGCTTCAACTTCCAGCATCTTTATCTCAATTTGTAGATTTCTGTGTATAGTAAACCAGAGGGAAAATTGCATGTGTGCAAACAGCAATCTTCCCCTAATTTTCCTTTCACTACCGAGGAACTGAAACACTAATCTTCCCAACAACACAATTTTGTTGGAAGAAGCCTTGGATATACACTTAATTTATGGCTAGGGTAAGAGCAGGGCTATTTCTACTGTGTCTATGGAACAATTCCCCAATACGTTATCTGGCTAAATTTATACTTTCTTTTGCCAGACCTTCAGCACAATCATTTCTTTTTAATATTTTGTGAATATATGGCTGCTAGCTATTTCGACAATTCATTGCATTTCTAAATGGCAGAGAAAAATGTAAAACAAAGAAACAAAATAGTAAATCAAATCTCATTGGGTCTAACATTATTTTGCTGTTTTTAGCAACTAGATACAGCTTTACAGATTAAACTATGACTGTGCTACAAACCTATAGAAAAAAAATTAATTTATCATCTTCCAAATAAAGATGCATGAATTATTGCACACCTGCTCATACAGATCAATTAGTGTTTTGTCCGGCAGCTTTAAGGACTGTATTGCCTGCAATACTGTATCCCAATGACCACTATTAATGTCTGCTACAAAGCTCTCAATGCTGTCCACTGTGTTCAGAGACACTGTGGTTTCCTCCTGCAGAGTGGCCAGAGAACGATGCAGGCTGTTCTCCTTCAGATACTGCATGATCAGTCGGATGACACTGAAAAAAAGAAGAAATGGTAGGTAAAATTAATTTGTATATCCTGTTAGCTGCTTCTCCCCATTCTCATACACTTTTTTGCACTCTCATACATACTGAGAATAATGGGGAAGAACACATATTATCAGTATTGTCCAGTAAATAAAGCACAGACTCCAAAGGGAAATTGTAAACGGCAGGTTTCATAACAACAGTAACTCTGAAGTTACAAGTTTGTTGCAATGTTCACTTCTAAATACTGTCATTAAAAAACAGTGCATTTGGACATGACATACATTGTTCTTTAACCATAAGCATTTTTATTAGTCAGCAGTTGTATTAAAAATCTACTAAGAACAACATCACTAGTGTCCCTTTAATATATAACTGGAACATCAAGCAATGCTGCCCTAAATTACACCATCTGCATCATTTTATTAGTCAAATAAGTGAGTTCAAATATAGTAAACATACTACCTGATTAGCTTAGGATATGTTATTATCATTTCTCACTATAATCTACTCCCATTTAAGGAAAAGGGGACCAGTAAATTACTGAATTGATACTGCAGAGGAAGTAGGTGTTGGTTAGTAGCTCCTGGTTCACATCTCCTCTCAGCTATGAACACACCAGGAAGACACTGTATTCAGACTCTGCTTTCCATTTGGGATGTGTCTGAATAGTGGATTTTAGTCCACGAACCTTCACGCTGAGATAAACATTAATTTTAAAGTGCCACAATAATTTTGTATTGCTTTTGATTTCTTTCTGTTTATAGTGAGAATAGGGTATGACTCTCCCATTCTGAGGGGAGTCCATCATTCTGCCTCAGACGGAGTTTTGTATCTCTCTCTCTCTCTCTCTCTCTCTCTCTCTCTCTCTCTCTCTCTCTCTCTCTCTCTCTCTCTCTCTCTCTCTCTCTCTCTCTCTCTCTCTCTCTCTCTCTCTCTCTCACACACACACACACACAGATACCCTTCCTTCTCTTATCCTTCCTCTCAATTCCAATTCCAGAGCTTGTGTAAACTAAGGATTCTTCACGGACCAGGCACCCGAACAAAGGCGCAGGGGGCCGCGGACTGCTCAGGACCCTCGGGATAAGGGCCACCTCAGTCATAGGCCAACAACCCCAGCTCTGTCAAGTTTTTCCGAGCTTCAGGGCCTGCCCCACGTTGTTCCAAACACGACCCAGGCGGCGTGTTGCTTTCACACGTTTTCAGCGTGGCCTTCGGAACCCTGCGTGGCAGCTGCCTAGGAGAAGAGCCATGGCGAGTGGCGAAGGCTTTCCAAGCAAGGGGCACGGGCAGCAACGGCGGGTCCCAAGGAAAGCAAAGGCCCCTCCTGGCAGGGAAGAGGCGCCTCGCCACGAAGCCTGCCCACCGGGCCCAGGTCTCCCCTTCCTCCCTTAACCCGCTGGCTCAGGCACTCACTCCGAGGACTCGATTTCTATCGACATCTTGCACTAACTGTCCCTCTCGGCTCCCTCGGGCTCCAAAATCCAGGGACACTCCACCCCGACGCTACTTCCGTCCCGACGCTACTTCCGGTTCCGGGTCAGCCCGTACACGTGCTGCAACCATCAGGATGGATAGACTTTCCAGGACTGCCGATTACTGGGTTCTTTTAACTTTTCCCCTCCATTTCTCGGGCAGGGCGGAACTGAGAGGTGGAGGTCCTCAGCAAACGGGTGGGCGGATAGAAGCTCAGATGGTTGTGTCGCTGTCCACTCGATAGCCGTGCGTCCATTCTGAAAAAGATAGCGAAAAAGAAAAAAAAATTCCTCTTAAGTCAGATCCAGTATTTTTTTTGGGGGGGGGGGGAGACATTTTTCTGTAGCTTAGTGTC